AGTCACCATCACCGGGCTCCATAACCGCGGTCTCCAGCACCGGGCTCCATCACCGGGCTTCACCACCGGGCTCCATCACCGGTCTCCATCACCGGGCTCCATCGCCGGTTACCATCACCGGACTCCAGCACCGGTATCCAAACTGGACAAAATCGAATCGATCGTTGGTTCGTTGTCGTGTCTTGCCTCTTCGCCATTTTTAGCTTTCTTTATCTTCCCTGTCGAATTTTCCCTTATTTATACAATACCGTAACTAGACCGAGATAAGGCCGAAATAGCTTGTAATAGAATTTAAACAACCGAACACCAGTAATGCCCAAAAGTCTCTCCTTTATTCACAAAACTCTCCAAACAAATTTGCACGTACAATTATTTCCGCGTGGAATAATTTCACGCACTTCAATAATCATACCACTTCTGACACACCTAGATATCATATAGCATGTCATATTTAATTGTCTACGTTCTTATCCCGTTGCAACTTTCCGCAACTAACCAGGCTCCTATACGTGACCTTCACCTACCGCCCGCGCCCCAATTACGGCTAACCCACTGCCCCTGTTGTGGCTGCTTCTCGCGCCCTCTGGCGGCTCAACGCCCGCGTCGGGAACGACGATTATCACGGCCGCCGGCCGGCGCCGCGTCGACAGTCGACAGTTGTCAAGGCCGCGCCGCGATGGGCGCGTCATCACTCGCGGTGCAGTACTGGTGTGTGCAGTCTCTTCGGGCCGGGTAGATTCAACGAATGTGTCAGTGAGTGTGAATCTGGTAAAATATCGCTGCGATATCTCCCTGTTCGACATCTCATCAGCTCCATTCCACGTAAGTTTTTTTTTTAAACTCCTGTCCCCTTTGATCGTTTCCCAACAAAGATGGTCCTTTCTAATATTTATTCTACAAAAGCACAACGATCGGTACCTATATTAGTCGCATATTAGTTCCAACCACAAACAATTCTACATCTACCTGTTACTGGACATTTCGCAATTTCAATGACGCAAAGTGACCATCTAAAGTCGCAAAGTGTCAAACCGTCAACCTCAAACCACTGCTCACAACTCTGCACCTAAGTAACAGAAGAAATTCCGCCGTAAGCTCAAGCATTCGTATCTGTCGAAAATCATAACTCATAGCCATATTCATAGATCGATCGCATGAATCAGTCGCCACCTTAAAACATTACATTCCTTTTCAACCGTATTTACCTGTTCTATAATTGATTTCGACTTCGCAATTAATTCCTACAGCAATATTACCAATGATTTCGCAATGCAAATTTTAGTGAGTACAGCACGAATCTAAACCCTTAATTTCACAAACTTACCAACCTCAAATCTCAATCCCACCTGACTACCGCCGATAATAAATCGAACGAACCAGCTTGGCCAAACACAAAGACATATTCGTTATTCAATGCTGACACGCATCATGTCATCAATCTCAACGTTCGTGACAATGAGCTGCTTATTCAAATTTTAGCATCTCGCTCCCGGCCTAATCGTGAATTCCGACGGACAATAACGGTTTGCTGGCGACACTGACATGACCTCACAATTCAGATCCTAATATGCTACTAGGGTGTCTGGACCAATAAGTTCAAAGTAATTTAAGTTTTCCAATTCCAATTGAGAGTGCATTTTATGGCAACCGAAAATGTTTGGCAGTCGTCACGGCACGGCAAGCTGGGCAGAAGGGGGGGGGGCAAGGATCAGGGATTGAGCAGACTTTTCAACAACACTCACATTCTGGAGTTCCTCTGCGCTCGAACTGAAGAGACTTCTCGCGGGTGACCCCGGACTGACGGCGGCTCCCAGATGGCGTCTCCGGCTCCGGCTGCAGACTGTGACTCTCGGCTGCTCGACTGTGCCGCAAACCCAGCTGATCGGATCCCTCTATCCCTAATCCGAGCAGTGAAGAAGCATCTCGTACATCATGGTCTATACAATGAACAGAATCATCAAGCCTCTAAATTAAAAAGCATCTTCCATCAGATGTATTTGTATGCAAGGTGGATCTGGACTTACATCTCTCCCAGGTGGACGACATCTCAAGATCTCTATCACGATCCCTATCTCGAGATCTCATCAGGTGGATCTATATCTACATCTATCTCAGGATCTCATCACTATCTGGATCTCTCTGTAGATCTCTCTCTGGATCTTTTCCAAGACTCAAGTTCAACTGTCTACCAGCTCTACTACCGAGTCATTACAGCAGCAATATCTTCTCTCTTCGGCTACAACAGTCAAATGACAGTGGACTGCGGTGTTTGATGAACCGCCAGATGGAGTAATTTTCTTTATTTTCTTCTTTTTTCCTTCATTTCCCTTGCTACAAATGGCGCCCAAAACGTGGGGATTTGATAATTCTCAAATTGTGAAGCTGGTAGACTGGCACAAGCCGCCGAACTTGAAGTTGATGAATTGAAAGTCAACCGTATGGAGAGGAGGAAGAAGTTGAAGAATAGAGCAGGCGTTCGAAATACTGGCAGCAGTGGAAATGAGCGTGCTGCAGGGGTCGATATGAAGAAAGAGGATGAGCTAAAGAAAGCTGTGTGAAGATGATGAAGCTTATGATGGTGGCTGATGACAGGAAGTTGAAGAATTGAGCAGGTGTTCGAAATACTGACAGCAGTGGAAATGAACGTGCTGCAGGGGTCGACGTGAAGGAACTGATAAGAGGAAGCGGTCCTACGAATACTGAAAAGGACATAGAAGAAGTTGTTGAAGATAAGATAAGGAAATGAAGCTGTCTCGTGAACAAAGGATCAGACTAATACAGAAGACAGGCCGAAAATGAAACTTGACAATTGTTTGCATCAGCATATCAATTCTTCTACGTTCTGCTGTACAACAAGTCCAAGTCACGGTCAGCTGCTGTATTGCAAAGGAGAGCTCGAACTTTCTAGAGTATTGAGGATAAAAGGACAGCAATATCAAAAGCAGAAGAGGAAGAAGAACAGGCGGAATGCTCGTGTTGTACTGAATCAAAATCAAACACGGTCGTCTTCACAACACAGCCAAGGCGATTATCATGTTGGTGAACGAGGAGAGGGTGCCAGGATGCTGCAAGACCAACTGCCAAACGATCCATTCAGATGGGCTGCTGCAGAGATCACCCACCTGGGCTGCTGCGACGGCTGTCACCTGGTCCGCCGAAAGGTCGCTACCTGAGCTGCCACGGAGGTCACCTGTGCTGCCACGGAGGATGCATGGCCCTCGCGTGCTGCCTCGGAGGTCACTCACCTGAGCGGCCGCGGAAGTCGCCTACCTGAGCTGCCACGGAGGTTGTCACCGCGTCTGCCACGAAGGTCACCTACCCGGGCTGCCATGGAGGTCACCCACTTGAGCTGCCGCGGAAGTCGCATACCTGAGCTGCCACGGATGTCACCTGTGCTGCCACGGAGGATGCATTGCCCTCGCGTGCTGCCCCGGGGGTCACTCAACTGAGCTGCCGCGGAAGTCGCCTACCTGAGCTGCCACGGGGGATGCATTGCCATCGCGTGCTGCCTCGGGGGTCACTCACCTGAGCTGCCGCGGAAGTCGCCTACCTGAGCTACCACGGAGGCTGTCACCGGGTCTGCCACGAGTGTCACCTACCTGGGCTGCCACGGAAGTCGCCTACCTGAGCTACAACGGAGGCCGTCACGGGTCTGCCACGATGGTCACCCAACCGGGCTGCCACGGGGATGCATTGCCCTCGCGTGCTGCCTCGGGGGTCACTAACCTGAGCTGCCATGGAGGTCGCTCACCTGAGCTGCCACGGAGCCTGCCACCCGGGCGGCCACGGAGGTCGCGGCAGGGCCGGCCATGGAGGTCGCCTACCCGGACTGCCACGGAAGTCATCCACCTGGGCAATTTTCGTAATGGGGAGGCCAGTGATATAGGGATGGGTGACTGGACGAATGATCACATTCAATTTATCAATGTAATTACCACCCTTAAGTTTGGCAGTGGTCATCGGGACTTCGAATGCCCTGTCCTTCACCTGCCCAACTGTGCCGCAAACCCAGCTGATCGGATCCCTCTATCCCTAATCCGAGCAGTGAAGAAGCATCTCGTACATCATGGTCTATACAATGAACAGAATCATCAAGCCTCTAAATTAAAAAGCATCTTCCATCAGATGTATTTGTATGCAAGGTGGATCTGGACTTACATCTCTCCCAGGTGGACGACATCTCAAGATCTCTATCACGATCCCTATCTCGAGATCTCATCAGGTGGATCTATATCTACATCTATCTCAGGATCTCATCACTATCTGGATCTCTCTGTAGATCTCTCTCTGGATCTTTTCCAAGACTCAAGTTCAACTGTCTACCAGCTCTACTACCGAGTCATTACAGCAGCAATATCTTCTCTCTTCGGCTACAACAGTCAAATGACAGTGGACTGCGGTGTTTGATGAACCGCCAGATGGAGTAATTTTCTTTATTTTCTTCTTTTTTCCTTCATTTCCCTTGCTACAAAAACTGCATGATATCACTCACCAGCAAAATAAGTCGTTTTATAATTCCCTTTTTGCCGTTTTTGATAGACATTCACTCAATTTAGGGGAAAAAAACGCTAGTTATGGTTTTTCTCACAAATTTCTGATTCTATTCCTTTTATCCAAACATCTAAATGCAAGCTACCGGAACATGCCGTCTTACAGTCGGAAGCATGAGCATGAACGCAAAAAGTAAGCGTTTTTCGTCCCTGACGCATCCAGGCATCACGCAGTCACAACAATTCTCGCTTCTATTTCTGTCCAGACCGCAGCGTCTCTTCCAGTCAGTGCCTTTTGCTTCCTGGCTGAGTTCCCGTGCTAATTTGGCTATTGGAAGCGAAAACAATTATTGAAAGTCGTCAAGTTCAGAGATAATGGCTGCGATTCAATGGTCAATGGTTTGTATTGGAATGCTCTTCAACATTCGTCGGTGATGCTCATAGCTACTTTTGTAAGCTCTGTTGAGGTTATTATTGTGAAGCCGCCAATTTATATGACGCTTCCCTCACCTTTCGGTCGGCCAGGTTGGTGGTTCTGCAGGTGATTTTGGCCGACCGGGCGGCCAGAGCTGTGACGTTCTCCATCTTTTCCACAATCACCAGTCCTTGGGAGTGCTCCATACCTGTAGAAGGGTCAACATACTAAGGTCATGAAGTCCACAAGAATCGAATGCATACAAGCGCATGGTAAGGCTGTCATCAGACTTGATTACGGAGCGAGCGAAGCGAGCGGAGTCCGGAAATTTCTTAGTATGAGCGGCCGGCCGGCCGTGGTCACGCTTTTGCGAGGCTTATATCTCAGCAACCACTTGACCGATTTACACGCGGCAATTTTTGTAGGGTAGCTTCATTCCTTCTACCAAGTATTGGACTATTCCCGATGCATGTGGGTGACCTCTTATGCACGTGCCACGTGCAAAACGAAGAGGTGTCCGTTTTGTAATTGTTGCAATATCTCGGTAACCACTTGGCCGATTGCGCTGAAAGTTGGCATGTAGGTAGGCACCCACTAGGCACTGCATATCCATGTGCCAGAGTTGGGGCGCTGCTGCACGTGCGCACGTGCAGGGGTCGTTTCAAGATCTCGAGAACGGCTCCACCGATTGCGCTCAAATTTGGTACATGGTTAGGGACCGGTTAGTAGTGTGCCGTGCGCAAGTAAGTTGGGACCCATTTTGCACGTGCGCACGTGCAGGGTGCCGCTTCCAGATCTCGAGAACGGCTGGGCCGATTGTACTCAAATTTGGCACATCGCTAGAGACCGGTTAGTAGGGTGCCGTGCGCAAGTCATTTGGAGGTACCCACTCGAGATTTCGCACGTGCAAATCTCACCCTCTCGCTCGCTCCGTTAGTCGCCCCAAAAGGCGTTATACTGGTCAATTAAGACCACACACGTCAACAGGAGTTCGATCGGCTCACACTCATTTTTGCGTCAAATTTATTCATCCAGATATTGGCGTGCAAATTGAGTGGCGTGCCATTTTTGTGAGACACCGAGAAGTATAGTTTGTAATGATTTACAATTGTTAGCTACCGGTTCAATTTATCTCTGCCGTCTGCCAGGACAATAAAACCATTGTGCATGCGTGTCGTGTACCCGTGTGCGAGCACACACATAGGTACTCGCGTACAGCCGTGCCTGCTGACCGTCTCGCGGCCGTGTCATTTCTCGGACCCGTCTGACCATCGGACAGCCATCAGCAGCAGCAGAGTCACGTCCCTCTCCTATCCCAGCCATCCGCGGGACAGCAGGAATCCCTGCACTGTGACCTGTCGCGGGTCTGGGATGCCGCTCGGCCGGCGGCCGGGGGATCGCCCCGCCACCACGCGCGGCGGCTGCAAACAGCTCTCGGAGAGGCCGTGCAGGCGCGCACAATGCCCGACACCGGACCTGTGTATCCCCGCCGGCCCGCTGCCGAGTGAGGTGTGCAGCGGCTAATGGGCCGCACAATGGCGACCCGTGCCCCATGTTGGAGCTGACCAAACACCCGCCTTCTCTCCACGGTGGGCGAGGGCACGGGAGACTGGAGACTGCAGGTGGGAGGACCGAGCCATTACCGCTGGTTCAACAACCAGGTAAGGGCGGGGCTCTGCCGATGGCCGCGCAGAGCGGGCACTTAGTGGTGACGTCATAGAGGACAGTCGCTCAACGGTGCAAACTGCAAACGGTAGCGCAAAAGTTCTCCAGAGGTCTTGCCTAAGTACCTTTTCGTATCTTAGGCTTCAATGAATTTTACTACGCCTGCAATTATTATTCGCTTATTTTTATAAGCACTAGCACATGGTAGAGTTGCTTGGAAATTTTGTCTTTATAGATTAGGGTATCATTGCCACACACACACACACACACACACACACACACACACACACACACACACACACACACACACACACACACACACACACACACACACACACACACACACACACACACACACACACACACACACACACACACACACACACACACACACACACACACACAAAATACGTCTGGCTGATTCAGAATAGTGCGGTAGGTTATCCCGCGCCGGGCCGGGGGGTGTTTGAACACCCCCCCCCCTGCGGTTTTTCGCAGATATCTCAAAAACGGCGGCGCGGAGCGCCGCCGTTTTTGGCACACCTGTTTGTGCATCTTTTCCGCACATGTTGTGAAAAATTCAGACCCAGGTCACCTTAGGTCAGGTCACCAGGTCACGCTAAGTGATCTCACCTCAGAAAAAAATAAGAATGCTCGTCATAGCTACACCGATTGATTGATTTCCTTGAAACTTTCAGCGATTGATTAGAGCAACAGTATCGATAAAATGTATATCTCGGAATTTTGATATCGGTGACCTAAGGTCAGGTCAATTTTGCGACCTGCCCATTATAAGTCAATGGGAGAAAATTGAAAAGCGTCTGTTTTGCACGAACGCTATTCTAGACACTCTCAAACATCGAGATATAGGTAAAATGGACACACTGAACCGGAAAATGGCAACTGTGACCCCTCGTTATGTCCCCGAGGTCATCTCAGGTCACGAACAGAATCTAACAGTTTTTCGCTAATAACTTCTTAAAGAGACGAGCTAGAGCGCTGAAAACGCCTTAGATGTGTTCGGCTCGACGTTGCGGATCGACTGATATGCAACATGACCTTTTCCGGTCAGGTCATGACCTCGACCTGAGATCAAATTTTCAAGTTGACCTTTCAAGGTCAAATTATAGTTCATTCGACGCGTCTCGACGAGAGGAACACGATGGTGGCAAAAGTAATGTCGTGGCTCTTTTGGGTCAAAGGTTATTGCCGAAAAACGTTTTTCGTAAAAACGGCTATTTTTGGAGTTTTTGCCCTCTGGAGGCTAAACCGTTGACCTGAGGTCAAATCTGAGAACATTACTCAGAAAGGTCTGTAAAAGGGCTATCGAATGCGCTTTTCCGCGGCGCTGTAGCTCTATCGGTTCCCGAGATAGCCATTGGCAGTTTCCAAAATGTTGAAATAGTGGGCATTTGACCTTTGGTGACCTCTGGGGACCTGACCTTTGACACGTTCTTTCGATTGCCGCTTACCGCGTGTCGTTACGTGGCCCAGGAGCCGAGTTAGAAGGGGGGGTGTTCAGACACCCCCCCGGCCCGGCGCGGAATCTCAGAGCACCGGCCCGGCGCGGGTTATTTGGGTGTCAAGAGATTAACTGTATCACCAATGCAAGCTATCGGTAGCATTGCTGTCTTTGATCAGCAATATCGGTATAGCTGTTTCAAAATTGCAAAAGGAAATGCGGAACAAAAGGATTAAAGAAGGCGCAAAAGTTTCATCAAAAGGTATGTCTACTTGAAATATCTACGTGCTTCATTCGTTCACGATTACTTTAACCAGCGCCGTGCTGGGGGGGGGGGGGCGTTCTTACGCCTCCCCCCCTCCACAGGTTTTTCGCGAATAGGCGGCGCGTGTTTTTGGTACACCTGTTCATACATCGTTTCGGCACATGTGAAAAGTTAAGACCTGAGTCGTTCAAGGTCAGGTCACCAGGTCACGTCAAGTGACCTTACCTCCGAAAAAGTTCAAAGGCTCGCTATAGCTAGACCGACTGAACGATCACTTCGAAACTATCAGCAATTGAAAAAAATACAGTATGTATATCTCGGATTTTTTTACATTTGTGACCTAAGATCAGGTCGAATTTGCAACCTCTCTATTATAAGTCAATGGGAGAAAATTGAAATGCGCCTCTTTTGGACGAGTGTCGTTCTAAGCCCTCTCAAACATCGGTTTAGAGGTAAACATGACACACTGAATCGGAAAAATGCACCTATGACCCCTTTGTGTGTCCCTGAGGTCATCTCAGGCCATGAACGGTCACCAGCAGTTTTTGGGCTATAACTTTTGATAGAGACGTGATAAAGCGATGAAAACACGTCAGATGTATTCAGCTCGACGATACGGATCGACTGATATGCAACATGACCCTTTCCGGTCAGGTCATGACCTTGACCTGCAGTCAAATTTAACAAAATGACCTTTTAAGGTCAATGTATCGTTCATTCGACGCGTCTCGACGAGAGGGGCACGTACTGCTTCCAAAAATAATGTCGTGGCTCTCTTAACCCGCGCCCTGGTGGGGTCTGTTTATAACGCGAGCTGGTGGGGGGGGGCTATTTTTTGCCCCCCCTCGTATCTCCGAAACTACTGGACGGATCCGCAAAATTCAAACGGCGTTCGAAAGGCCTGTCGAATTTGTCGAGAGAAACCAAATTTCATTGACCTCGGGGTCACCGATGACGTCACAGGTCAGGTCAAAGATGAAATGTTTCACCGTTCACGGGTCTTCTAGGGAATGCGCTATAACACCGAGGAAAACGTATTTTGTCGAGAATCAGCGGTAGGGCGTCAGTTGCCTAGTAGATATATTGCTATTAGAGGTCACTGGCAATACCAGGTCAGGTCACAGGTCAGGTCACCAAGGGTCACAGGTCAGGTCACATGAGCCCAACTTTACTAAGGTTGTGTGATACATGTTTTATGGCCAATTTTTCATTTCCAACTCAATGGTGTTGGTTATAAGACTATCAGGTACGGCTTAGGTCACTTTCTGGTGAAGTTCAGGTCAAGGTCAGGTCAAGGTCAGGCCAAAAAAGGTCAAATTTTAAAGTTGATAGTTTTGCATAAAATGGGTATTGATTCGATGCAGCTCGTCACGAGGAGTCTAATGGTGGTCTTTGTTTTGCGCTACGGGGTCTAGAATTCTTAAAAATGGAGTTTGAAAATTTGACGTCATCAATTTTGAACAGTTTTTTCGCTATAACTTCGCCAAAAAAGAGGTATCAATCTCAAATTTGGTATGTGGATGGAAGGCGGTAAGGACTATCACATATATTCCGGTTTTTGCGAAATTCATAAAACTTTCTGAATTTTTCGATTATTATATCCAAAAAATCTATTTTTTTATTTTTGGGGGTCAAAATCCAAAAATTCCAAAAATCCGAGATAGCAGTTTTGTAGCCCTGTCCATTCTACAGCTTTTATGTCTTTATCATTTTTCTGTATTTGCAAAGCTATAGGCCTGACAGCTCTTCCCGCGAAACCCTTTTTTGGGTCGAAAACGGCAGAACATGACGTCACTCTGACGTCATTTCCGGCCAACCTATCATAGCCTTTGGAAAAATTTTTGGTCACAATGTGTAAAATTGATGTCCGGGAGGGTACTGAAAGTTTGGTGACGATCGGCGCAGCGGTTCTGGAGATATATTGAAAAGTCTGGAGGGGGGGCAAAAAATAGCCCCCCCCCCCACCAGGGCGCGGGTTAAGTCACAAGTTATTACCGAAAAACATTTTTCTTGAAAACGGCTATTTTTAGAGGTTTTACCCTCTGGAGGCTGATCAAATCTGAGAAGAATACCCGGAAACGTCTGTGAAAAGGCTATCGAATGCGCTAATTCCCGTGGCGCTGTAGCTCTATTGGTTCCGAGTTAGCCGTTGGCAGTTTCCAAGATTGTTGAAATGGACCAAATTTGACCTTTTGATGACCTCTGGTTACCTAACCTTTGACCTTGATGTATTGAATGGTCGGTTTTGCCATGATCAAATAATTAAATATGATGATGAAAATGACTAATAACATGGCAGTGAGATGTATTTTTATATAACAAAATAAGGCCGAAAATATGGAACGAGCTTTCGTCTTACGACACCATCGGGTTCTCCTACATGACCTTTGACCTGACCTAAGAAATGACTAAAATGTTTTCGTTATTATTTTTGATGCTCTTTCGAATGCCGCTTACCAGTTACCGCGTGTCGCTACGTGTGCTCAGGAACGGAGTTAGAATGGGGCGTGAAAACGCCCCCTCATCCCAGCACGACACGGAAAACACAGGCCACCAGCACGGCGCGGGTCAAATGATGTGTTACGGCATTTTTAGTGGTACCTACCGCTTTCTGTCATGAAGAATTAAAATGAGAGAGACGAATATTTTGCTCATGAATCTATGAGCGGATACCAGATAAAAGAAGTAGGGTTTTCAGATAGGATCATGTAGAATGGTACTTTCATTTTGTTCATAGTCCATGGAACATAGTTTGGCTGTCGTTGTGATGCCTTTGTTCTTGGGACATGCCGGAGTATCTACCCTACATATTATTTATAATTTGCCGTTACCAATGGTTAAAGCGAAGAACGTGGGTGGCACCCTCCCCCTTCTCGGCTGGGGAGGGAAGAACTTGCATAAGAGTGCCTGGTTTGCATGACTGTCGAGTGTCGAGAATTATAGGCGGATCCAGAAAGACTATTTCGGACGTTGCGGGGTATACCCCCAAAAAGGCTTCCCAAATTAAAAAAAAAACTACTCGGGTTTCGATTCCTTATGCACTTTTGTGTGATTTGAAACAACTTTTCCTAAAAAAGATCGTTTAGTTTTCTTCCTATTCTACAAAACTCTTAATTTCATCTATTTCTGGCGTTGCAATTCACCTCAAACGGCCACCTTGGATCCACCAGTGCGACCCACTAGGTGGCCCGGCATCCATATTGCATACAATGGCAATTTTATAGGAGTACCGGTAAGCACGCAGTTAAGAACAACCACGCGCTGGATTGCAGAAAGTTTCGGATTTGTGCCAGGTATCAGGGTATATTGAATTAGACCAGGTATTGCATAGTTTCTTTGACTCTATTCTGCAACCGGCCTACACTCGGAGCTTCGAGAAGCACGTGGGGATGGATTTCCACTGCGGCACGCAGCAATTCAAGGCATTATCCTGTCTAAAAGTCGTTATGTTTCGTGCTTTTCTCATGCTAGAATTTTGGATGTCACTGAATTCAACAATGTCACATATTTATGTTAACCCTCGCCGGACCTATTGGTTTTCTACATACGCTTTTCGCTCGCCGTTTCGCCCCTGGTGGAGCTAGCGCGTCGCGGAAAAAACGAGCGTGTGCGCCGTTACGAGACGCAGAGATTGGTACCCAATTTTAAGGTCCTAGGTCAACCGGTGACCTCTGAGGTCAGGTCAAGTGCCCCAAGGTACGGTTCAGTTTTTGGTGAATAACTTCGCAAAAAACGGCCGCAGAGCGCTGATTTTGGCAGAATCGTGTTCGCCTCGCTCAGGCGCGTCGAATGATATACTTTTTGTCCGGGTCAGGTCAACTTGGGGTGTTGACCTCAGGTCAAGGTCAGGTCAGCACCCCCAGGTCACGAAGTTGGTCGAAAGAGGTCATGTCGCATATCATTCGATTCGGCAGGCCTTCCTGAGTCCATTGGTGGCTTTCCCGACTCGCTAGCTCAATTTGATCAAGAGTTATTGACGAAAAACTAATATGACCTTGATGACGTCATAAATGACGTCACGGAAGGTCAACATTGCAAAAGTGACGCATCTAACCTTGCAAGGAGTGCACCAAATTACGATTCTGTGTGCTTGAGATAGTTAGAGATCGTTCCCGGCGCCAGAATAGCAGTTTTCATTTTTCCCCATTGACTTATAATGGTGAGGTCACGAAAATGACCTGACCTCATATGGCCTTTAGGAAAAATCCGAGATATACAAGTTGTGGGACTCATAATGGATACTAGATCCTGCAAATTTCATTTCCCTGTGACATCTCCTCTGGCAGTGAGGGCGTTGCGAAGTTGCGACATCTGAAGACCGTGCAGAGGTTCACTTATGACGTCATAGGTCAGTGACCTGACCTGACCCAAAAATGCGGTTGGTGTCAAAAGATCGGGCTTGGATCAAAGATCAGGTATGCCAAGTTTCAGCTCTCTATCGCCAGCGTGTTTGGAGCTATCGCGAAAAAACCCTATGGGGGGGCGGCACCCGCCCCCCCCCCCCCTCGGCCGGCGAGGGTTAATTTATGTATCCAAAATTCGGAAACGTTAGGCTCGTGCGGTAAGTGAGAGCTCGAGTTCGAGTCGCTCCGGTGCTCGATACATGAGATTCCTGGCGAAGATGGTTCGTGGTTGATAGGAGCAGCCGCAGCCAGTTAAAGTCTGTTGAGTGGGGCAGGCCGTGTCCGTCCGGTTTTGATGACCACATTAAATTTTGGTATCGTAATTCTCTCGTTAGATACCCAGAATCACTCGATCGGATCCAACCGGGAAGGGTCGAGCGCAATGCGCAATAAGGTCTACTAAGCATGGGCCCCCAGCTCTGTCAATACGTCTATCCGCGAACATTCAAGCAACTTAATATAAAAAAACAAGTCCTCGTACTCCTCCACAACTCCTTATCGGATTCCATGCAGCTCCCATCATCTCCTCTATATACGTCTCCCCACCAAGCTGGTTTCTCAGCTCCTTAGCCGGAGGAGGCTGTCTGCCAGCGCCACCTACCTCTGCTGGCCAGGGCCCCTCGGGCCGTTCCCAGCACCACTGCCGTCCACCAGACCGCCGCCGCCGCCGCCGCCGCTCCCGTCATCGTAGCCTCCCGGCGTGCCTGTCACTGGCGCGCGGAGCGCCGTCTTCAGGAGGGCCGGCGGCGCGGCGCGCGCCACCCCCCCCCCCCGACCGCGCGCGCCACCCGGTCAAGCCGCGCCAAATTAGCAATTATTCGCCGATGACGCCGATGAGGCCGGGTGGGTCGCTCGGCCGGCGGCCGGCTCTGATAAATGGTGTCGATTGATCGGCCGAGACGCTAACTGGCTGTCAGGAATCTCAATTAAATCACGTCTGGCCGTGTGCGGCCGGCGCAATCAGCGAACGGCGCAAACTTGGGGCGGCAAAACGGACGGAGCGGGCCAGCGGGCCGGAGGACGGTGTGAGGCGGCCCGGCAGCAGTCCAGTGCGGTGGACACCTGTCACCAGCGGAGGGCAGCCGGCCGCCGGGGCGGTCACACCAGGGGCGTCGGCGGCCGTCGCGCCTGTACTTAAAGCAAATGTGAGTGTGACTAATTGATGGCGTTCATTTACGCTCGGGCTGCGCCGGAGCGCTAATGTCGGCCCGTCTGGCCGTCCGCTGAATATTAGTGATCACGGAGTGTCGGGCGGCGGTCCGACGGCGGCTCCGCTCGCCTATCGAAGGGAGTCGTCCACAGCCGGACTGCAGTGCCGACTGGCCCGTGACCGAGGTCCGGTCAGGGAGTGGTGGACACAGTAGAGCACTGGGATGGATGAATCAACAGCTTATTACCTCTCAACGATGTGAGCTCAACAGCCAATAGGCTTATGCAGGCTTCTGCCTCGCCTTTTAAGGCAAGCACCTAAATAATATCGCTCTTTCGCAGCTTTCCCGAGGATTTTGACAGACAGCAACTGGCCGATCAGTGACGCCGCTGCCGTGCCGTTGACAAGGAGACCGCTGCGGTGGTCGGTGTAAGGCCGGGGCAGGGGAGGGGTTAATTGAAGTAGTCCCGGATCACACTCACGTGTGTCTGGCTCGCCGAACTGCCAGCTTAGTAGCCCGTGAGGCGGCACTTATCGGAAGAGGCTTGCTGCCAGACGTAATGTGCTCATTTCTGTGACAGCTGCTCGAAACAAGTACGTATTTCGCTCTAAACTCAGTCGAACAATGTGCGTGTCAGATGCTCTTCTCCCACCCACCACAGTAATCCATGCATAAAGAACCAAGCGTAGAGCAGAAATAATTTCCATCGCAATGCGTTACCTTTTATGAAAGTGAATCCTACGAATCCCAACTGATTCGCCTAATTTTCTAAATGGCATAGGGGAAGGTGGGGTAAGACGGACCAGCTAAGGTTTGAGGCCGCATATCTTGCTACACTGCTCTCGTAATTCATAATATTTATAGTCTTCGGAATGCTCAATCCTTCCTCTGTTGATATGTGTAAAGACTAAATTTCAAATTAAAGACATCTAGGTGGTGGATGCTCTTAAAGAGGGACATGTCAAAAACTCAGACAAGAAAAAACGTGGGGTAAGACGGACCACCCAGCAGTGCCTGCTATCCGTTCATGTGTGTTACACTTCTGCTCTGTACTCTTGTAAGAAAAAGTAACCAGAATGGTAAAATAACAAAATGAGCCTTTATTCTTTACTCATGTGTGATGGAAGTGCAGCTAAAAGCTGGGAACATGTGTGTTGATTGTCGTTTGGCATGAATGCATGCTAACTGAGCACTTGTATGCATGGCTAACATGCAACAAAGACTCCTTCCTGAAAAATTAGCTTACTTAAACTTGTGTCAATGTTTTGGAAAAGAACTTTCCATATGCAGCGTACAATGGACCACCACAGGGTAAGATGGACCACAGTGGTCCGTCTTGCCCCAAATCTAAACTCTGTCATTATCATGACGTATATGTCAAATAGCCCAACATTGCAAAACCTTGCCTTTCCAAAGTGTGACTATAACTAAGTTTATAACTTTGTTCTTCACAGTTAAGTGCAAAATAGAAACTAATCATGCAAGAAAGGCGCCGTAATTGAATCACCCGTAGACCTCTTATATTAGATCGGTTTGACGAAAAACAACATTTTTCTCAATAACTCAAAAGCTATGCATCCTAGCAGCATGAGCTCAAGGTGGCCATTGTTACGAAGGAAAACAAATATAGTGAGTGCATAAAGCAGTAGATACCAGCAGCGGTTCAGCCGGAAGTGCTGGTGGTCCGTCTTGCCCCGCTGGGCCATCTTACCCCACCTTCCCCTACCTAAAAATTCGCATAAAGATTATTTTTATTCTACATGAACGTTGTGAAATAACGTCGAGGCAAGCAATTTGTTATAACGTATTTGAGCCAATGTGTAAAATAAAAGCAATATTGATTGATTTAACGTTTTAGTACGAAAAGAAGCAAGTGTTCTTACAGTCTTGTGCATCGCATATACCAGCTGATAAGAACTTTTTGCGTTATGTTTTGTTTTTAATTTCATTAGTCATTAACCATCAAGTAAGAAAGTGCACTTACACTGCCTGCCTTTCTCTGCTCACTTATTTGAAGCTTATTATTCTGTCCGTTAAAATGGTAATTTTGAAGTACATTGAATTTGAACCAGATTACCCAAAACAATTGTTCGCATTAGTGTGTATTGGTTCATAATTCGTGTGCACAAAATTATATACAATGCTCTGTGAGGACGGGCAGGGCGCCCGTCTGCCGGTCACCCTGCTCTGTATCACCCGTCGGGGACCGGGCCGACTGACCCCGGCCACCGCGCCGGCTCAGCGTGGCTAATTACCGACCGAACAGTCCGCAAACAAACAGGCTCGCCAGTCAGAAATCAAATTACGATCGCTCGCCGTCGCTGGATAAATAGCCGCGCCGACCAGAAAGTGCGGCAGACAGGCGGAAAAAGAGCGGCGCGCCGAGCCGGGGACAGCCGAAGGCGGACCACTGCGGGGGAGAGAGGGATAGAGAAGAGGGCTGTGGAAACAGAGGAGGGGGAGAGGAGGAAGGAAAAGAGAATGATGAGAAAGACGAAAGGAGAAAAAGGAGGAATCGGAAGAAGGTGCAATTGGAGAAAATGGAATGGGCGACAAAGGGAAAGAAGTGAGATCTAGAATGGAACACAATGGAATTAACATAGCAAATGCACAGTAGCATGAGACGCTGACAACCCCTATTTTTCACCTGCAGTCTGGTTGTGGAGGATGCTTGTCTAGGTACTTCTTTCAAGTCCGAGGGCAGCAGTCCGATTTAATGAACTTACTTCTCTAATAAAGAACATTGATCTTGCCTCGCTATGAAAATAGTAGGGGAAAGTGGGTGTATTGCGCCCTCCTAACCAATTGCGCCCACCTACATTCCCACGGATTCAATGGCATGTTTAGAATTTTGTGTTCGAAAACATTATTTTCACCACTGCATTGTTCATTTTATGGCCCAAACACTCCGATGAAGCCAATCAGCAAGGCTCATTACGCCATCAAAGATGTTATAGCGTTTTCTTAACTTTTTTGCAGTATTTTGAACTGTTGGCTATAAAAATTTGCGATATTTGTGTGATTTTCAGAGTGATATTTAGAAAGAAAAACCCTTTTTTCATTGTATTTCACTGAAACCGTAAACTTCCTGCAAAATCTTTATGATAACTTCTATGCTTTTATTAAAAAGTGCCTCAATTTTAATTGCGCCCATGGCAATTGCGCCAGGGGGGCGCAAATAGAATAATGGTGTAGCCATTGTATCACGACAGTATGAATGCATCATTAACTGATTGCAATAAAGAAGGAGTTTAATGTCAGGCAAAGGAGCAGCCCGCTGTCGTCAGTCTGCAAATTATTTCTATCGTCAAACTTATAATGCAGCTGCCATTTAGGCTACGACTTGTGGTGTAATTGACAAAATACGATATTTTCAACATGGACTCAGGCGTGAGAAGTGACAGCTATGATAAAAAGTAAAAACTGATGTCATTAAGTTGTCAAAACGATAAAAATTATTAATTTTGAGAGAAACGATTGAAAATTTAACTGTATAGGCGCATACGTTTACATATATCTAGTCTGTTACAGTAAACGTTTTCGTTGCACTTTTACAAGCGTAGGGAGTGACACATGTAAAGTTATCTACCTGGGCAAAAAACATCGCGATTTATTTCTACATTTATTATTTATCCAGCCTGAATAACATTATAAATGTTTATGTAAGCCGCAATGACATTAGACTGCCGGGGTGTATGCATTCCGTCTCATTCACTTAGCCATGTTAAAGTATAGGGCGCATTTGGGTTCTAATTGCGCCATCCCCCTGGCGCAATTTACAGCAGTTGTTGGCAAATGCGCCCTTTTGCATGTTTCTGAAAAAGCAGCTGTCAGAAGCAAACGAAACATTCTTAATTGATCGGGAGGCTCTTAAATCGTAGCCAATGAGCTCCTCTTTGAAATGGTTACCAGTGCATGCTTATATCTCCAGCGGTTTTCTTACAATTAGCGTTTTTCCTTAAGGTGGCGCAATTCACCCTCCTTCCCCTATCCAGTGAAACCGCAACGAGAAATAGCATCGAAAGTATACTCATCGAAAACATACTCGTAAAGTCGACAGGATCGCGCTGGTTAACTAACGACATGGCTGTCATGGTTAACGTAATGGCCGACTGATAGAAGAAAATCCTCCTTCATGCTGTGCCGCAGCGCACACCACTTACAAAACTGCCGCCAGATGGCAGCAGCAGTGCGCGCCTGATTGTATGCTGTTCCGCAGCGCATACTACTTACAACACTGACACTAGATGGCAGCAGCAGTGTGCGCCTGATTGTATACTGTACCGCAGTGCATACTACTTACAAAACTGCCGCTAGATGGCAGCAGCAGTGTGCGCCTGATTGTGTACTGTTCCGCAGCGCATGCTACTTGCAAAACTGCCGCCAGATGGCAGCAGCAGTGCGCGCCTGATTGTATGCTGTTCCCGCAGCGCATGCTACTTACAAAACTGCCGCTAGATGGCAGCAGCAGTGTGCGCCTGATTGTATGCTGTTCCGCAGAGCACAAGTATGATGGACGCCCTCGACTTTACGCGAATATC